AGGACTATCTCCCGTGAACCCAACCCCAGCAGGGCAGCAACAAGAATCTCCTAACTCAGCTCTCAGCACATCAGGCTGAACCGTGTTATGGCCTCCGGAGCCACCCACCCCCTCACTTTGTGGGCAGGGTCTGCTTCCCCAGCAGAGGGGCAACAATAAAAAGAAAAGAAACAAACAAGACGAGAAGCCCTGGCCAGCCCCACACTCTGACCCCTCTGCAGCCACTGCATTGCAGGAGGAGGCCCAGTCTGTGGAGAGAGAACCGCTGCCTCCCAGCCTGAGTCTGGGCCGGAGGTGGGGCAGGAGGTGGGGCTCCCGGTTCCTGTTCCCAGCACAGCGTCCCCGTCTCCGGGCAGCACCTTGCTCCATCCCTGACATGCCGGGCTCCAGGCAAGGGCTGAGTCACTGTTCCTCAGAGCCTCAGTGTCCCCGTTCACACAATGAGGCGCCTCTTCCCAGAGCCTTCCTGCTTCCTAGGAAGGTTGTTCAAACAAATGAGATCACCCTCCGGAGGAGCCATCCTCGGCCCAGGGCTGGTTCTGCTGGTTGTGGCCGGATGTGCGGCGGGGGCCTGGGGATGCGATGCCACCTGCCTGGCCTGCATCCTTGTCCCGGCTGCTGCTCAGGCAGCGGAGAGGCGCCAGCCGCTGACAGAGCAACACCTGCAGGCCCAGCCCGCACGCAGCGCTGCAGTGGCCTCTGCAGGCAGGGGGTCCGGGCCACGGCCATGGGAAGGAGCTCGCCCTCTTTGCCCTCCCCGGTATCAGGGCCAGAAGGGCCGTTAGCTGGGGCTCATCTCACTCCTCGCTTCCTGTGGCTTCTGCGGTCCAGCGCGGGCCTGGGACCTGCCCAAAGCCCCACCCCAGCTGCCCACTGCCTAGACAGCCACTGCCCCAGCGGCTCCTGCCCCGTCCTCGCCCAAGCCCCGCCCCCCACCTCCAGGCACCAGGATGCTGCAGGGGTTGGGACACCCAGGTCTGATTGTGCAGCAGCAGACAGTCCGAGGCCTGTCGGGGAATCGGGGTGCGGTGGGGGCACCCCTCCTCTCACTCACCCCTCCCACCCACTCCCACTTCTCTAAGAAAACCAGGAAAGCAGGCTCACCCCACCCCACGGTTTCCGGATTCACTCAAAGGCAGACTTCCTGATGTCAGGCTCCTCCCCAGCGGCTCCTCCCCTGAAAGGGGCGGGGCCCAGAGGGTCCTGGGCGTGGCTGCGCGGGGCTGCCCTGGCCCCTCCCCAGGATGCATTTCCTACCACCCCACCCGCAGGTTGCCAGGGAGGATGGTGCTGCTCCCCAGGACAACCTACGCCCCAGCACCCCATCCCGAGCGGCAGCTGACCATTTAAGGAAACATTCCTGAGAGATCCCCCTTTCTCTTGGGCAACGGGGGCCCTAACCATCTCCCAAGAGAACCCAGACTTCTGTCCTGGCCCACCCCTGCCCCCTCTCGGAGGAGGGACCTCAAGGAGCAATTGAATGCAACATCCCGTGGGCCACTGGCTCCCACACCTGAAATCTGCTCACCCACTTATGGATGAGAGAATGAGGCTCAGCAAGGGGAAGCGACTGCCCAAGGCCACAGACCCACTTAGAGGACACGAAGAGGCCACCTAAGACCCCCCATACACTGGCCGCACCCTTGTCTGGCCCGGCCTGCACCACCTTCCCTGGGACCACCACACACAAGCTCTGCCCAGACCTACTCCTTACCCTGGTCTGAGACTCTAAGTCAACAACAGTGGGCGTCCGGGGACTCCTCCCTGTCCCACCCCCCGCCCCCGCTTCTGTTCACCCCTCCCTCACTGGGGCCCACTCAGTGGCCACAATCAGGAGGCATTCCACGTCGGAGTCAACAAGCTTTATTGGTCAGGCAGGGGGTATGGGAAAGGGACGGGGAGCCACGGGGCTCAGGCTGGGGAGGTCGAGGCTGCAGGGCTGATGAGGGCCCTGGGGGGAGTGGGAGGGCAGCCAGGTGAGAAGGGTCCTCAGCGGGTGGTCTGGTGGATCTGCTCCCGGGAGGAAATGACCTTGCCGTCCTGCACCTCTTCCACAATGGTGCGCACCTGACGGGTGGTCACGGCTGCAGGAGACAGACACTCAGAGGGGGGCAGGGGCCCAGAGAGCCTGGCTCACCCCACCCCTGAGAGGACCGCGCTCTTTCCCCCACAGCCACGGTGTCCAGGCCTCTGCTGGCTCCTCGGCATCACATCCACACTGTCCTTCTGCCCTCATGGCTCCCTCCCTTCCAGCTTGTCCCTCTGCTGTGCCCCAGACCCCCAGGTGGGTGGGGTGA